AGGAGCTGAGTATCACAGTCATTTTAAAGCTGCCTAATTGGTGCTTATTATGCTTGATTGCTGCTCGGTGACATCCACAGGTGTTTTCAATACCTGATGGAAAGCACCTGTATGAACCTCTGTTCTTCAGAGTGGTAGTCTTTAAGGGGTTGAATAATTGTGGCAATGAAGAAAACCACATAAGAACCATTTACTACTGTATTACATAAACAATTGATGTCATTTTAGTTGCATTTGGGTAGTTACAACGTCCTTGTAGGATTTGATTCTGAATACAATTCCAAATGTACACTATAGTCCCTAAACCCCTTTACAGCATTGGGGGTTGAATAATTTTGGCCACAACTGTAATTATAAACTAACTTTAGATTGTTTTTTATTTTTACCAGATTTGTATATATGGAATAATTAAATCTGCTATCATATGTAATAATCATGATATTATTTGAGTGTGTTGTGCGTCATTTAAAGTGCTGTTTATCTGCACTCTGAACTCCCTGGATAGCTGCACTGGTCCGAATCCCTATAGCTAATGTCTCTATCACAATTACAAATAGCAAAAGCAACAGAGAACAACCTTGCCATGTGCATTGTATATGTTTTCAGTCAGATTTATATCCATTGAGAGTTATGCAGGCCTGTGCGCTTGCAGTATAAAGTGTGCAGGAGTAGCAAAAATATAGGACTGAAATTCCACTTCTGTAAAATATGGAAAAGATAGGACCAGGACAAGGAATCCATAGCTTTGTGTAAATCCAACAATAATAGCAGCCCTTGTGTAATCCCCACGCCATCCCAATTAGATCACAGTATTGAAATAATATCTATAGCTCTTCTAATCTGATCCGCTGCATGGTGCCTGGGAACAAATCCAACCTGATCAAGATGGATATAGAGTTGAAGAAACTTATTGATTCTGTTGGCATATATTTTCATCAACACAAATCTCAGTGTATCAATGATATGGGTCTACAACTAGTTACCAAGCTGTTATCCTTATCAGATTTTGGTAGCATACAAATATTCACCCTATCAGAATAAACATCAAAGGGCAGACCATCTTGAACAGCATCACAGAAACTCAGATACCAGTAATGAGGCAAATTTTTTATAATAGGAAGAAGTAAAACAGTCGGGGCCCAGCGCTTTGTAAGCATTGGCTTGTTTTATTGGGAATAAAATGTAATTTCTTTTTTTCAAAAGATCTCTATGGGAGTCAGAAAGAGAAGGTGATGAGAGGAAGAAACACTGTACTCTCAAAACACGGCACACCCTCACTCCAGATTTACAGCAACCCCACTGTTATATCCTAGTATACCCAATTTTTCAAAAAAGTCGGTTAAAGCCCTTCGGCATGGTTTGTACAAATAAACTGGTCAACAACAGGATTGTATATTGAACATGACCAGGTAGAACAGGCTAAAATGTGTTAACATATTCAAGTGTATAATTTTACAGACTTCCAAAAAATTCACCAGCAGCAGGATAGTTTTGTGAGTCAATTAAAAAGTGCTCAGACATGAGGCTATTTTGTTTATTATACATTTTTCTTGTTGTCAGTATTTTTAATTGGGACCTTACTAGATAATTTCTTTAATAAAAAAAAGGGGGCTCCGCACCCAGCTGATCTTTGCTCTCATCTATGTTATTCAGGTAGATCTTCACCTTACAAAGGTTGACTACCCCTGCTTTAAAGAGACTGTACTGTTGTAGCTAGCTAAACAAATACATACATAAATAATTTTATTAATGAACAATACCTTCTTAACTCTGTTTCTATTTTTAAAAATTTTCCTGTCTACAGTATACAATAATATAAAATAAATTGTTGCATACAGTATGTAGAGCACTGCATAAATTGTATGCACTGTGTATACAGTATGCCTGTAACAAATAAATGAATAGGCTAACAATATGCTTCTTGTAGACTCATGCCCATTTTAAATGAACGCCCCACCCCTAATAAAGTACATTCTTCTCCTACAATGGCTTGCTGTACACACAGCAAAAAAGGTGTCCTGTCCTGGAAACTTTTTTAAAATGTTGGCAACTATGGCAACAGAGTGGAAAACTTTCAACAAGGACACACGTTTTGGTCATTTGGTCACTCTGGTGGCAACTAGGAATTCCCCCACATTGGGGGATTTCCTCTCACTTTCTGTTTTGGTTATGGGACAGGAAGTGAAGGGAAGTCTTCCCAATGGAACACAAAATAAAATAGAACTGAGCCCTCCTTTACTCTATCCAAATTTAAAAAAAGGTTTTTTTAAATTAAAATTATTGTTTCACTCTGTCCAGGCAAAACTTTTTTTTTAGTTTTGGAAGGTTGGGAAAGGTTAACACCCATATTCTGAATCTAATTGTTGTAATAGTGACTATCCTTTCCCGAGAACTCTATGCCTGGCATACATATAGCAGAGAAAATCTTCATCAGATAGCTAAATTCCCCAAAACACTTAAAAAACCAAAAATGTCTTTACTGCATGCTGAACATTGAGACAATACATTAAAATGCAGTAGACTTGATATAGAAGTATTTTAGGCAGTCGAAAAAGGGTTTTGGCCTTTCCTAGCCCCTAGTGTGTGTGTGTGTGTGTTTTTAAGGGAGGAAGGATACAACTTACACACAATGACGAGGAAAGGAAATACAGAATATACCATATAAAAATGGTCAGGTGGCAGCATAACAAAAAAAAATACCACTCACAGCCTGCTAGATTTACTGCTAGCGGGCAGTAGTTGCAGACTCGGCAACATACCCGTACGTCCTGTGGACACAGTTATCAGTGAATGATAACTTGTAAGTAAACTGTTAGGCTTTCATTCATGACATTTTGCTTACTGTTGTGATGCTGTGACCAATCACAGTATCCCAATAGTAAACACTATGTCCTGAATGAAATCCATTCATGATAGTTCAAATGATTGCTTATTACAGTGATCATCATTAAAAAAAAAACCCTAATCACCTCCACGAAGTACCACAGGGTCAATACTATGGTTACAATTATTCTGATGACAGCATGTAAAAAGAAATAAAAAAATTAAAAAAAAAAAAAAGAATAAAAATGTATTTAATTTTAGTTTTTGTTTTGTTTTTTTAACATACTATCACCAGTCAGTACCCCTGATCACTTTCTGACCAAAAATATTTGGTTAAGTTTGTCAATCATTTATTCGCGCTGTTTGGAGGTGATCACGGATTTGCATTGTTTGAAGTTGGAGTGTCCACTATTGTAGTATATTCACGTGTGTATTTTATTGCGATATTGGTTTGGATATTTATTAAATTTATATTAAAATTTTTTTTTTTTTTCACTTGTGAGTTGAGTGCACATGATATGCAGTTTGCATGATACATGATTTGTTGCACTTTGTTTTTTTATTTAAAAAGGTAATACACTATCATAAGTTTATTTTTTGAGGTTCACGAAGAACTTAAAGAATTTGGAAATGTTACACTGGACTAATAAAGAGTGGCACGACTTGATTTGGAGGTGGAAAAGACATTGTACAATAGAGACAATTTTGGACATTTATTTTGTGGGACATTTATGTTTTGGGACATTTATTTTTATTTTATTAATTTAATTTAATTTTAATTTTATTTTTAGTGTATTTATTTAGTAGTTTATGTTAAGAGTGGGATAGATTTATTTTGTCACAAAGAAGAGTTTAGTTATAATTACATTTACTTTCAAGGGTGAAAGTTTTTCACTTTTCTTTTAGGGTGTAGGAGTTATTGTTATAGTTGGGAGTGTGCAGAGATATTGGTTATTGATTACCTCTGATCACCGCCACACCAGTTATATGATGACACTGTACTACACTGATAATGTTAACAAATATATATATATATATATATAATTCCTTTTTTCTTAACTTTGTTAATACCTTGATCAATTTTCATAGTTTGTAGACTCTATACCTTTCACACAGACTAAATAAAATACATCAATTTGGGTTGTTTTTACCAAAAGAAATATAAAATAAATTTTGGCCTACATTTATGAAGAATGATTTTTTATATGCAAAATTTTAAACCAGAAACTAAGAAAATGTGTATTTTTTCAAAATGTTCAGTATTTTTTTCCTTTATATAGCAAAAAATAATAAACCTAGTGGTTATTGAATACCACCAAAAGAAAGCTCTATTTGCATGAACAAATTATATCAATTTAATTAGGGTACAGTGCAGCATTACTGAACAACTGACAGTTAAAGTAGCACAGTGCTGAATAGCAAAAAAATGCCCCGTCATGAAGGGGGTAAAACCTTCCAGAGGTCAAGTGCTAAGCAGAAAACAACACAGGCTGTATACACAAATACAGCTGTATTTTCCATGTACTTCAGAGGCAGCGCACCTCGTCTGGTATCATCAAATACCGCTATACAGTATATTAATAGCATAACTGTAGTTATGAAATGCAGGTAAACCAAGTGCAATTTGCTGTTGATGTCTTGAAAATCTGAAAGAAAAAATGAGAAAATGCATGCAATGCAGCAAATGACCAAACCTACCTAGGTTTTTCGCTCCATATTCTAAACCAAGGGATGCACCTGACAGGAAATAAGACTGCACCTAGGGGTTTTAGAGGCGGACAAAACAGGAGATGAAAACTAAATATTCTAAACCAAGGGACATGCAGACCAGAGATAGTACAGGAGGGATGACCAGAGAGATGACCAGAGGACATAGTACAGGGGATGACCAGAGACTGCGGACATAGTACAGGGGATGACCAGAGACTGCGGACACAGTACAGGAGATGACCAGAGACTACAGACATAGTACAGGGGATGACCAGAGACTGTGGACATAGTACAGGAGATGATCAGAGACTGCGGACATAGTACAGCAGATGACCAGAGACTGCGGATATAGTACAGGAAATGACTGCTGACCTTTGGGGAGGGTGGGGAGCGGGTACCTGAATTTGACAGGTACCCGCTCTTACTTCTGCGGAGTTGTTCTTTGGTTAGTGTCCGCTCTGCAGTGGGACCTTACCTATTCCTCTATCCAGCGCCGCGCTGTCTTCCCGGCTTCTGTAGTGTGGGCGCTTGGCTTGACAGCCGGGTGCCAAGTGCGCATGAGCGAGAAGCGCTGCTGTCAGGGATCCCCTCGATCCCCGCCGCGATGGTCCCGGCGCAGGCGCAGTGCACCGCCCTGTGCAGGGACACGGGCACTAGGTCCGGGCTGGCTGCGGCGTTCGAGTTCGCGCATGCGCAGTAGAAGCCGCGGTGCCCGCTGGGCACCAATGGCAGCGCAGGGCGGGATATTTAAATGTCCCTGAGCTGTCATTTCAGTGCCTTCTGGTCTTACCTGTATCCTGTGATTCTGAACCTGTGCCTAAGTAAGTTATTGACCTGGATTGCTTTTGACCTGCTGATTTCTCCTGACAAGACCTTTGCTTTGCCTGACCTCTCTTTCTGAATGCCCCTCATTAGTTCTGACCTACTGTTGCTGACCTGGCGTGTGACCCGACGATTCTCTGCCCGCTCCCTTGTACCATACCGTCCTCTCCGTTACCAACTCGGCCCGTCTGACTTTGCACTTGCTCAGCCATCCATCCATCCCATCGGGGTTACCTGACCTCCTCACATCTGGTTCTCCCTGGTTGGAGCCCCTGGCGAACACCCCTACCACTGACAGGTGTGCTCAGTAGTGGCGACCTGGTCCCGGGGTACTCCAAGTCCATCCCCACCATCAGGGGCTCTGGTGAACAAGTACCCTGGGGCTTAGACTCCGCGCTCTGGGCACGCCTGACCGGTGGAGTGCTAGTGGTGCCGCTCGGCGGTCCCTCACAGCTGCGCTTTGTGATTGGTCCGGCGGCTTCTGGGACCTGTCATGTGTCCCAGGTGCCACCTTACCATTCACAAAGTGCACCGCTTCTCGCGCATGCGCACCGGGCTGTCAATCTGAGCGCCCACACTACAGAAGCCGGGAAGACAGCGCGGCACTGGATAGAGGAACAGGTAAGGTCCCGCTGTAGAGCTGAGCGGCCGGCCCTGTATTCTGACACGGCGGCGGTGGAAATAACGGACTGGCCGCTCCATATTCTCTCCATAAGACGCACTGACATTTTCCCCCCTTTTTTTTGGGGGAAAAATGCATCTTATGGAGCGAAAAATACGGTATTTAGGCAAGAAGTGTTCTATTGTCCAACTGGTAAATGTACTGAATGTTCTTAATACATTCTCCTGCTGGTTTTAAGAATACATCTCTATCAAGTGCATAAAATTCAGTTCCCAAAGGACTCAGTGTTAGGTCTGAGGAAAGCCTTGCCCCTTGCATTCATTAGTTATTCTCATAGACCAGTTCATTCTTTTGCTTTCTGGCCTTTGTGCAGGAAGAAGTGTAGATTTGGTTTGACTTCCAGATGGGCCCTGGTCAGGATCTAGTAGACTGAAGAAGTCAGAAGGTGTTGTTTTTTCTGCATGATCCACCAGGAATTCTGGACCTGTTAACCTGTATTTTTCTTAAAATAACAAACATGTTATACTTACCTGTGTTGTGCACTGGTATTGCACCAAACCTCCACTTCTGGTGTCCCCTGCCCGCACTTTCAGCTCCTCCTCTTCTTTGTTTTCCATCACAGCAAGCCACGTACTTTGGAGGCAGACCTGTGGGCTTGCTCCTGTCCATGAACACATACAGCATGGCTGGTCCTCACCCCTTGCTCTCTGTTCACAGAGTTTGATTGACAGCAGCAGGAGCCAATGGCTCTCACTGTAGTCTCTCTGTCCTGTGAATTCAGGGAAATAGGAGAGAGCCGATACTGATGGATGCAGTGCTTGATGGCAAGTGAGGTAAGTATTTAGGGAGGTGAGGGGGTGATACTGCTACTGGGGAATAATTTACCTTAATGCAGGCAATGCATTGTGGTAAAAAAATGTAATGACTTTGGAACAACTTTAATGTCAGATGGAATTAAGGCTTGGAGGATTTCCTAACTTTATCTACTGGATTGCTGACATAGATGTAGAAGCATTTTGTCTGACTATATATATATAATCCAAAACAACTTTGCTGTGTAGAATTTACATCATACAGTTGGGCTCAAAAGTTTGCATAGCCTGAGCCTACAAAAATGAGCTGCATGGTCGAGTTGCCAGAAAGACGTCTTTACTGTGCCAATGCCACAAAAAAGCCTAGTTACATTATGCCTGACAACACCTTGACACACCTCACTGGGCTTTTTTGTGGCATTGGTGCAGTAAAGGCTTCTTTATGGCACCTAGACCATGTAGCTAATATTTGTTCAAGTATCGTCGTATTGTGCTCCTTAAAAAAACACATTGTCTTTTTCCAGGTCTTTTTCCTTTCCTGTTGTTGATGTTACTTGTGGGTTTTTTCTTTGTCTCCCGAACAATTCTTCAAACAGGTGTGGCTGCAATCTTTCTTGGTCTACCTGGCCTTGGTATCGAGAGATCCCCGAATTTTCCACTTCTTAATAAGTGATTGAACAGTACTGACTGTCATATTCAAGGCTTTGGATACCTTTTTATATCTCTTTCTGTCTTTTTATAAAGTTCCATTACCTTGTTACACAGGGTTTTTTACAGTTCTTTTCTGCTCCACATAGCTCAGTATCTAGCCTGCTCAGTGCATCCACGTGAAAGCTAATAAACTCATTGACTTTTTACGACACTAATTGCAATTTAAAAAGTCACAGATGTGGGAAATGAACCTTTATTTGCCATTTTAACTTGTGTGTCACCGTGTGTGTCTGTACCAAGGCCAAACATTCCAGGGTATGTAAACTGTTGATCAGGGCCATTTTTGTGATTTCTGTTATCATTATGATTTAAAAAGGAGCCAAACAACTATGTGATAATAATGGCTTCATATGCTCACTATGTTTAAATAAAAGAGTTTTTTTGATGATCAGTCATATTTTCAATATAAATGCTAACATTTCTTGATTTCTGCCGGGGTATGCAAACATTTGAGCACAACTGTATATCTCAATGTCTAGTTCATGTAGTATGAAGTCCACAGCTATCACAGACCTACAAAGTTGAAGCCTAGCAATTGTATGCTCAGGCTGAGGTGCCCACTTGGCTTTACTAAACAGAAACCCAACGTAAGTTTGATTACAAGAGTCTATTACTTTAATGTAGGCAAAGGCTGCTATGGCCTCCGTGGATGTGTCGGAGAAAATGTGAATCTCCTTTTTCTAACTTGCAGCAAGGGAAATGGAATTGTAGTAACATAGTATGTGAATCCCATCTAGGGCATATAGAGATTTTTTCCAGGACTCCCATTTTGATTGTTTGTCAGTTATTAGTGGAGAGTCCCATTCCTTAGCAGTCTCTGATAACTGTCTTAGTCAGGATTTGCTTTGTATGGTGATGGGATTATTAGACTAGATTTAGTAAGGACCACTTTTGTTGTTTGTACAGTTTTATATTTGTATAGCACATTTTATGATTGATGATGTTTTTGGAAATGCCTTAAAGCGACTTTCTACCCAAAAGTGGAAGCTCCGATTTTCTGCCTCCCAACCCCCTCCGCTGGCACATTTGGCACCTTTTGGGGGGGAGGGTAGCAGGTACCTGGTTGACAGGTACCCACTCCCACTTCCAGCTCAGTTCGTCGCTGCGAGCTGAGCAGGAATTTGGCACCCCCCACAGCCCTCTGAGACACTTCCAAGGTCCCAGCGGACTGCAGCCTGTTCACAAAGTAGGAAAACAGTGGTGAAGCCACTGCCTGTTTCCCTTAGTCAAGATGGCCGCGCCAGCACCTGACAGCAGGTTAAAGAATCTGCTTGGGGTGAGGACACCGTTGGATGCATGGGCAGGTAAGTGCCCTAATATTAAAAGTCAGCAGCCACAGTGTTTGTAGCTGCTGACTTAATTTTTTGGGGGGAGGTGGCAGGGGCTGTAACTCGGCTTTAAAATACCCTTTACTCCCAGAAAAATATCTGTTTCCTGCTCTCTCACTCTAGTGCTCTATGCTTTCAAAACTGAGTAAAACCCAAACACGATAAGAGCAAACACAGATTTTTATTGCAAAGGAAGAGAGAAGATGTGGCTGAAAAGGTCTATTACTTAGGGCTGATTGCAGAGTGCACAGGGTCTACGTCTGGCTCTTATTGGACTGTAAAGTCATATTTATACATCCTGTACAATTGTCATAACAGAAATGTGAATGTAAAATTATAAAGGCTAGTATATGTTATTGCATATCTATTTATGTGACTTTATTTGGCCTTTAACATTTTACATATAGCTGTATTGTATTACACCTTTGGCTACACAAATACTGTGCCACCCATCATTATGCTATTAGTAGTCCTTTCCCCACCTCCAGCTTTGCACTGAATAGTATTGCAGCTGTATTTTGAATTGGAATTACCGTCCTAAACTGATCAACATGAGGATTCATTCCAGACAGTCTGTGTTCTCAAACACAATAAAAAATTAGTTCTGAATGAAGCTATTTCAAAATTGGAAACATAACTGTAAAGGTCTGCATGTCTGTGACATTACATATTTTTCTTGCCAATGAATGCTGTAACAGCAGTTCTGTATAAAACAAATGACAATTCTACTTTAGCATTCTAAATTCAGCTGTTGGAGATGCCGCTTTAAATTTTTAATACTAAAAATAAAACTTCCCTTTACAATGGCTTTAACCACTTAAGGACAGCCCACCCGCAATGTACTGTGGACAGGGGCCCGTACAGACACAGCGATGTTCCTAGTGGTGTATTTTGGTTTTGTGCTACCCTAGGCAAGACTAAAATTAGGCCCCCCCCCACATCTAAATTTGTCCCACCCTTTCATCTGCAAACTCCACTCCTTCCTCTTTAGGCTCCACCTCTTCCTATTAGAGCTCCGCCCACTGACACCGATGGAGCCCTATTCCTCCCACTGACACCAATGATGGGGTACGATTTCTCCCACTGGCACCAATGATGGGGCACTATTCCTCCCACTGACACCAATGATGGGGCACTATTCCTCCCACTGACACCAGTGATGGGGCACTATTCCTCCCACTGACACCAGTGATGGGGCACTATTCCTCCTCCTGACACCAATGATGGGGCACTATTCCTCACACTGACACCAATGATGGGGCACGATTCCTCCCACTGACACCAATGATGGGACACTATTCCTCCCACTGCCCCATCATTAGTGTCAGTGTGTGAGGCAATTAAAAAAACAGAATGGGGCCTCCCCTCCATCCATACCAAGCCCTTCATGCCTGGTATGGATTTTGAGGGGAAATCCCACACCAAAACTAAAAAAAAAAAAAAACGGCTTGGGGATCCCCCCCAAAAGCTATACCAGACCCTTATTCGAACATGCAGCCTGACAGGTCAGGAAAGGGGGGACAAGCGAGCGTCCACCCTCCTGAACCATACCAGGCCACATGCCTTCAACATGGGGGGGTGCTTTGGGGCAGGGATGCTTCCCCCCAAAGTGTCTTGTCCCCATGTTGACGGGGACAAGGGCCTCTTCCCCACAACCCTGGCAGGTGGTTGTGGGGGTCTGAAGGCGGGGGGCTTATCGGAATCTGGAACCCCCTTTAACAAGGGGTCCCCCAGATCCCGGCTCCCTCCCCCATGTGAATGAGTATGGAGTACATGGTACCACTACCCATTCACAAAAAAAAACCCTGCAGTGTAAAAAAAGACAGAAGACAGTCTTTGGCAAGTCCTTTATTAAATGAAGAAAAATAAAACAATGTCCCCCGAAGTAGATCCAGCGCCGCTACCTGGAAAACGCAAAAAAAGCACCCCCATATTGAGGGCATGTAGCCAGGTATGGTTCAGGAGATGGGGGCACTCGCCTCCCCCCCTTTCCTGACCTGCCAGGCTGCATGCTCAGATAAGGGTCTGATATGGATCTTGGGGGGAACCCCGCGCCATTTATTTTACATTTTGGTGTGGGGGTTCCCCTTAAAACCCATACCAGACCCGAAGGGCTTGGTATGAATGGAGGAGGGACCCCACGACATTGTTTTATTATTTTTAAAATAATTTTTAATGCCCTTTCTATGCAGCTGAGCTGCAATATGTAGGTGGGGTGTTGTGTGGGTGTGGCTTTGGCTTGAGTGTACGTGGAGACACAGGGGGCCCCATGATCTCTTATTGCCCTGGGGCCCCATGAGTTTGCAGTCCACCCCTGGATTACACACGACTTCCTAAAACTCAATATATCCAAAACTAAACTCAGAAAAGTTCCTCCCCCACGTGCCTCTTCTCCTGATTTTCTCGGTCAGGATCAATAGCACCACTATCAACGCATCCCTGCATGCCAAGGTGCTAGGTGCAAACCTGGATTCTGAACTATCCTTTCAGGCCCACATCCAATCCCTGTCCAAATCATGCCGCCTCAACCCTCCGCAACATCTCCAGAATACGCCCCTTTTTATCCAATGATACCACAAAGATCCTAAATTCACTCCCTGGCTATTTCTTGCCTCGACTACTGCAACTCCCTCTTCATTGGCTTACCTTTACATAGGCTATCCCCCCACCAGTCCATCATGAATACTGCTGCCAGGCTCATCCACCTTACCAATCGTTCGGAGTCTGCTTCCCTTCGCCCAATGAATAAAATTCAAAATACTAACAACAACTTACAACATCAACAACATCCACAACTCTCTGCCCCCAGCTACATCACCAACCTGGTCTCAAAATATCAACCAAACCGCTCTCTTCGATCCTCCCAAGACCTTCTGCTCTCTAGTTCAGGGCTTAAAATTTCAAGTCCTGAGCTACAAGCCAGACCTTAAGAGTTACTCGCCACCAACAAACACACACAAAACAGAGACAACTGTACACACACACATAGACATGTACATACACACATGTATACACACAGGCAGGTACAGACACGCATACACACATACATGTACATACACAGAAATACACATGCACAGACACATGTACATACATACATAGACACATGTACACACAGACACATGTACGTACATACACACAAACACACACACACACAGACAGACACATGTACAGGTACATACACGCAGACACATGTACAGATACACATATGTACATACACATAGAAACATGTACATGCATACACAAACACACACACACACATACACACACACAGCCCTATAAAAAGTTGCAGTACTTCGTTGTTCACTCACAGAGCCGGGTACTGCACTCTAGGGGGAGGCAGAGAGCACAGCACACACTCCTTCCTTTGCTTTCACTGCGCTCAGCTTTTGAGCAGTCTGACAGCTCCCAGTGCCAATGACAGATCCGACCTGAGCTCCAAGCCTGCTCAGCAAGATGGCCCCCACCATAATTTCCACTCGCCATTGGCAAGAATGCGAGTGGAAATTTCAAGGCCTGCTCTAGTTCCCATGTCACCTCCTCCCATGCTCACCTCCAGGACTTCTCATGAGCTTCTCCCATCCTATGGAACTCACTACCCCAATCTGTCTTCTAATCTATCCACCTTTAGACGATCCCTGAAAACCTCTCTCTTTAAAGAAGCCTATCCTGCTTCTACCTAGTAATCCGCCATTTATTTCCTCCATCAGCTCATCCCCCCCACAGCTATTACCTTTTGTATCACTCAACCCTTCCTCATAGATTGTAAGCTCTAATGAGCAGGGTCCTCTGTTTTCTCTTGTACAAAATTGTATTGTAACTAATTATTATTAATATTATTATTATACAGGATTTATATAGCGCCAACAGTTTGCGCAGAGCTTTACAATATAAGGGAGACAGTACAATTACAATACATTTCAGTACAGAAGGAATAGGAGGGCCCGGCTCGCGGAGCTTACAATCTAAAGGAAGGGGGAGCTGATACAAAAGGTGATAGCTGCGGGGGATGATCTGGCGGTGATTCAAGTACAGTTCTTAGGTGGAGGTGGGGTAGGCTTCCCTGAAGAAGTGAGTTTTCAAAGATCGCCCAGAGGAAGACAGGGTGGGGGCTGACCAGACATGTTGTGGTAGGGAGTTCCAGAGGATGGGAGAGGCTCTGGAGAAGTCCTGGAGGCGAGCGTGGGAGGAGGTGATGAGGGAGCTAGAGAGGAGGATATCATGGGAGGAGTGGAGTGGGCGATTTGGGTGGTATCTGTGGATGAGGTTGGTGATGTAACTAGGGGCAGTGTTGTGGATGGCTTTGTAAGCTGTGGTTAGTATTTTGAATTTTATACATTTGGTTAGTGGAAGCCAGTGGAGGGATTGGCAGAGAGGGGCAGCAGTCGCTGATCGGTTGGTAAGGTGTATGAGTCTAGCAGCAGCATTCATAAAAGACTGAAGGGGGTATAGCCTGTGTAACGGTAGACCAGTGAGGAGGGAGTTGCAGTAATCAAGGGGGGATATAACCAAGGCGTGGATAAGTTGTTTTGTGGTGTCATTGGTCAGGAAGGGGCGGATTTTGGAAATGTTCCGTAGGTTGAGGCGGCAGGATTTAGCCAGTGAGTGGATGTAGGGCCCAAAGGAGAGGTCAGAGTCTAGGATTACGCCTAGCATCCTGGCATGAGGGGAAGGACCAATGGTTGTGCTGTTGATCTTAATGGTAAAGTCGTGAGTGGGGGATCGGGGAGGAGGAAATATTACAAGCTCAGTTTTTGAAAGATTGAGTTTAAGGTAGTGATGTGACATCCATGCTGATATGTCGCTTAGTAGATTTGTGATACATGAGGAGATTGAAGGGGGTGAGCTGGGGAGTGGAGAGATAGATCTGGGTGTCATCAGCATAGAGGTGGTATTGGAAGCCATGGGAGGTTATCAGTTGGCCCAGGGAGGAGGTATAGAGAGAGAAAAGGAGTTGCCCAAGAATAGAACCTTGGGGTACCCCAACAGAAAGAGGAAGTGGAGCGGAGGAGGAGGAGTTGTATGTGACACTGAAAGTGCTCTGAGAAAGGTAAGAGGAGAACTAGGAGAGAGCAGAGTCACAGAGGCCAATGGAGTGGAGTTTACTGAGGAGGAGTGGGTGGTCGACTGTGTCAAAGGCAGCGAAAAGGTCAAGGAGTATGAGTATGGAGTAATGGCCAATGGTTTTAGTAGTTAGTAGGTCATTAGTGAGTTTTAGTAGGACAGTTTCTGTGGAATGTTGTGAGCGGAAGCCAGATTGTCGGGGATCAAGAAGGTTGTTGTCAGTGAGGCAGCAGTTCATACGGTTGTGAACAAGGCGCTCGAGAAGCTTGGAGGCAAACAGGAGCAGGGAGATGGGTCTTAAGTTATTCGAACAGGTGGGGTCTAGCGAGGGTTTTTTGAGGATGGGGGTAACCAGTGCATGTCTACCTTCATTTTGTAAAGCTCTGTGCAAACTGTTGGCGCTATATAAATCCTGTATAATAATAATCACTATTCACTGTAATATTGTCACTGGTGATTTCAGTGTTAGTTCCCACCCAGTGTTAGTGTCAGATTGTCTGCTGCACCATCACAGTCCCACGATGAGTCGCTGATAGAATAAAAATTCCAGTATATATATACACCATAGTTTGTAGATGCTATACCTTTCATACAAACCAATCAATTTTCACCCAGTGGTATTTTTTTTTTTACTAAAGACATGTAGCAGAATACATTTTGGCCTAAATGCATGAAGAAATTAGATTTTTACATTTTTTATTAGACATGTTATAGCAGAAGGTACAAATTATTACGTTTGTTTTCCCCCAAATTTTCTTTTTTTGTTTATAATACCGTACCTTAGATTTTACGCCCTTGAGGATTAGGGACTGATGTGAATGTACAATATATATGTAAAGCGCTGTGTAAATTGACGGCGCTATATAAGTACCTGTAATAAATAATAAATAAATAATAAAAAATACAAAAACAGTGGTGGTCAATACCATAAAAAAGAAGCTCTACTTGTGTGAAATTAGTTTTATAAATTTAATTTGGGTACAGCATTACATGACTGAGCAATTACCAGTTAAAGTAGCACAGTGCTAAATAGCAAAAATGGTTTAGTCGTGAAGGGGGAAAACCTTCTGGAGTTGAAGTGGTAAAGTAAATCCGTACTGAGAGGAATACATAGGCCACTGACCCCAATGCTTTCTGAGACTTTGAAACAGAACAAGCATTCAAGCAGTGAAACCAGAACACCTTATCTGCATAGTTCTTTCCAGTATGTTTATTATTATTATATACAATCATCTGTTTGATACCATTTTTATATAGGGTACATACTGTATATACACACTATATTGCCAAACGTATTGGAACACCACTCCAAATCAGCAATTTTAGTCACTGTCCTACATGGCCATCAGGGTATAAAATCAAGCACCTAGGCATGCAGACTGCTTCTACAAACATTTGTGAAAGAATGGGTCGCTCTCAGGAGCTCAGTGAATTCAAGCGTGGTACCGTGATGGGTTGCCACCTGTGAAAGAAGTCCATCTGTGAAATTTTCTTGCTACTAAATATTCCACAGTCAACTGTTAGTGGTATTAAAACAAAGTGGAAGTGATTGGGAACAGCAACTCAGCAAGGAAGTGGTAAGCCACAAAAAATGACAGAGCGGGGTCAGTGCATGCTGAAGTGCACAGTGTGCAGAAGTCACCAACTGTCTGCAGAGTCAATAGCTAAAGACCTCCAAACTTCATGTGGCCTTCAGTACCAAGTGCAATGCAAAGCATCGGATGCAGTGGTGTAAAGCACATTGCCACTGGACTCTAGAGCAGTGGAGATGTGTTCTCTTGAGTGATGAATCACGCTTCTCTGTCTGGCAATTCAATGGACGTGTCTGGGTTTGTCGGTTGCCAGGAGAACAGTACTTGCCTGACTGCATTGTGCCAAGTGTAAAATTTGGTGGAAGGGGGATTATAGTGTGGGGTGGTATTTCAGGGATTGGGCTTGGCCCCCTAGTTCCAGTGAAGGGAACACTAAGTTGCCAGCATACCAAAACATTTTGGACAATTTCATGCTCTTACCTTTGTGGGAACAGTTTGGGGATGGCCCCTTCCTCTTCCAACATGATTGCGCACCAGTGCACAAAGCAAGGTCCATAAAGACATGGATGAGCGATATATATATATATATATATATATATACACACACACTGTATATATATTCTATATATATATAGAATACTGTAATTACTGCTACCACTTGTTATAAATCAGGCTATATATAGCTTAGCTTTACATTGTCAGCACTAGACTTGCTATAGTTTATTATATTTGTTATTTATGCCTGAATAATATCAATTATATTTGATATTGCTTATGACTATACTTTTGAATGGGTTTTTGGAGCTCACATCTGCAAATGCTGCTGGGAGAATAATTGCAGAATGTGTGTGTCTGCCTGAAGCTCATGCTGTTTCCCAGCTTTTACAAAATAATTCAAGCTAAAATAGTTATAAAAAGACATCTTTTTGTATGCAGGGCAGTTTTTCTTTTTAATTAAACACAGTAGACTTGTGACTATAGGTGTCACTATGCCAGGGGAGATCCGGGACTGACTGTCAGTTTTTGATCCAGACTTTGGTCTGTTTTGCAGGAGCACTAACAGTGGTTCCCAGGGGCGGACTGACAACTCATGGGGCCCCCGGGCAATAGGGGATCATGGGCCCCTGTGTCCTTGCCCAAACTCAAAACAGCCTATGAAAAAGGTACCAGGGGCATCTCATGGAGCCCCTGCTGACCCCAGGCCCTCAGGCAGTGCCCGAGTTTCCAAATGGTCAGTCTGCCCCTGGAGGTTACCCTACAACCTAGGGCTGCAACAACTAGCAGGTTTAAAAGTGGGCTGAGTTGAACCTAAGGTGGAGCAATCTTTTTTACTCTGTTGATTGAGTTTGTAAGTTTTCCATTTAAAGGCACAGATCAACAAACACTATATTTTTCTTTTTGTGTCATCATCTTTACCCCAACATTTGGCTAATCTACCCTTTGTGTCATAAATGTTTGGGCAGTGTTTCTTCAAGTAGAATCTATTCCAGTTATGAATTGTATACCTTTGGGACGACCAGTTACTTTACCTGGCTGACCCAGATGCCTTCTTCACTTGACTGACTTTCACTTTTAAGTTTAGGTTCAGCACCCACATTGCCCCAACTTTGGGTTTGATTGGCACACAAATGTGATGGCTCTGCCTATTACTGTTGTCTGAATTGAGCTCCCAGTCTGTGCTGACATACAGGTATGTGCTCCTCTGTCTTTATTTTCTAACCTAGCCTTTCTCAAAAGGGATGCTATGGCACCCTTAAGGAACCCAGGCAGCACCCCAGTTGAGAAAGCCTGCATTGGTGTATGCTTCCTTCCTCTTGGATTTTTGTAATAGCAAGACACAGTACGAGAGCAATCAATTAAATGTGCTTCTAGAATGTAAAGTAGAACTGAAGGAATATCAATCCCCCCCCCCAAGCTCAGCCAGTGCTATGTTCTTGTAATATTGTAGCCCTGCTAGCATTAGAATGAAAAGCACACTATAAAGCTGGCCAGACACTGAGCAAGTTTATCAGGAACAGGCTGAAATTCAATCAGTGAGCACTAGTGCCAGACTTTCAATTAGGCAGAGTAGGCACTCGTTTATGGTCTCACACCATTTAAGGGCTCCAGGACAATGGATCAAAGTAATGTTAATTCAGTCCTGAAACAAAATTACAAGGAAGCTTACTTAAATTGTTTACAAAAGATGAATCAGCTCAAAGAAACTAAAACTTTACAGTAAAGACTCTATAGAAAAAATACTGTGGTAAGGTAATATACCTAATAACAACGTAAAATACATAGCCCATGGACTTCAGGTTCGCATCACAATTTGTCTCTTAAAAGCTTATCTTTTTTCAGCTGTCAGATTGTAATAACGTTTGGTGCAACCTAGGTACGTGTAATGTACCGCAGTGACAATCATGTCTATCTTGCAGCCAACGTGCCCACGATTTCAATGTAGTTTTTTTTTTATCTCACTAGAGTACACATGAAAAACCTCCAGACAGCTCTGAGGGGGCACCAAGGTTTTGACATACTGGGGGCCTCCACAGAGTTAAATCCAGCACTGGGTGGCACTACTCTGCCCAACATTCTACTTTTAAAAAATCAAAGGAGACAAACAGAAAATTGTTGCCTAGACACCTGCATCCAATGAGATAACAGGCACTGGTATTACAATAGCAGCAGTGAGAGATTAATCAACAACTGCTGGGTTTGAATAGAAAAAATTTTAACTTTCCTGTTAAAATCTATGAAGTATTCCCAACTTACCAGCTTAAGGAAACACTAAAGTACAAAAATAATTATATATATATATACAGTATATATATATGCAAATTTGAGTAGAATTATACCTGCTTGAGTATTTTTGTTTATAATATTTTGTTTTTAGTAATGTAGATATATGCAATTAGGATCTACAGATAATAAGAGCCCAGGGCTTGTCCTTTTTCGCTTTGGTTTTCTTCACAGCAAGTTCATTTTTGGCTGCTGCTATGCAATTAGAGTAAAACATACCATCACAAGATCCCAGTGTTCACTTAGGATTCACTAAGCTGACAAAAATGTTTGCTGTCACTCAGGGAAGGCAGCTTATAAAGTAAATAGCTGTAGTCAAATGACATATACAGTACTATGTTGCCAAAAGTATTGGGACGCATGCCTTTGCACGCACATGAACTTTTATGGCATCCCAGTTTTAGTCCGTAGGGTTCAATATTGAGTTAACCCACCCTTTGCAGCTATAACAGCTTCAACTCTTCTGGCAAGGCTGTCCTCAAGGAGTGTGTCTATGGGAGTGTTTGACCATTCTTCCAGAAGTGCATTTGTGAGGTGAGGCACAGAGATTGCAATCTCCACTCTAATTCACCCCAAAGGTGTTCTATCGGGTTGAGGTCAAACTCTGTGGAGGCCAGTCAAGTTCCTCCACCCCAAACTCACTCATCCATGTGTTTATGGACCTTGCTTTGTGCACTGGTGCGCAGTCATGTTAGAAAAGGAAGGGGCCATCCCCAAACTGTTGAAATTGTCCAAAATGTTT